CTATTCTGCTCCCGCTCGGGCATAAGTCCTTATTCCGGAACACTGTTCTGGAAAAGGGCCAGTGTAGACAGCCCAGTAGTCTTTTCCGGAAAAAAGCCCCGATCACGAAAATGGCGATCGTGGCTCTTTTCCGGAAAAGCGCATCTACATTGGCCACAGATGCTTTTCCGGAAAAGGGCTTTTCCGGAAAAGCAGCCTGCCAATGTAGACGCTCTTTTTCCAGAAATACTTATAACGAAAACTATTCTGTTTTAAGCATTTCTGGAAATTCATGCCAGTGTAGACACAGCCGCTCCTGGTTTAGCTGAAGTAGTCGCCACGACATAGCGTGTGATTCCAGCAGGTTCTGGCACAAATCAGAAGGTTGGAAACCCTGGGGCAACTCATTTCCTCCCCAATAACTTCTCCCTACACTGCCCCTAGCCAGGGGACTCCACTCTCTCTGTCTTCTCTTCACCCTACAGTGCCTGGGGCAGTGAGGGCCTCTGTCCTCCAGCTGCTCCAGCCTCCCTTGGCATGTGTGGCTGCACTCCCTAGCAGCCAGGTCCTGGAGCCACTCCCAGATGCTGCACAGCAGCTGCTTGGGAGAGTACTTTGCTGCAGTGGCTGCAAGCTGTCTACTGCCTGGTCTTGGCTTCTGAGACAGCAGCTGAGCTAGTTGGAGGGACAGGGGGAGGGGGCTCTAGGTTGCTTGGCCACTGTCCCCAAAAACTGGGCCTGGGCAGAGGGCAGCCAGGACACTGCATTGCACTGGGCAGCATCCTGGAAGAGGCCCTGGCCTGGCCTCTGTCCTTCCAGCTCTGGCCCTACCCTTTCCTCTCTCTGCCCAGTCTGGCTGTTGGAGAAGCACTTGACACTGGGGTTGGGCATTTACCCCTCCCACGAGTCACCTGAAAGTATTTGTCCATTGTAAGATGGAAATGATAGAATTAATAATAGAGAAAAGGCTGTAACATTCAATACATATTTTTGTTCTGTGTTTGGGAAGAAAACAGAAGAGGTAGTCATATACAACACGTTTTACAGCACCTACTAAGCTGAACACTTTTGAATCAGCAGGTAGCTTACCTCCAGTAGTTTTAAAAGAACTGGCTGAGGAGCTCACTGGACTGGCCATGCTGATCTTCAATAAACTTTGGATCATCAGGGACATTCCAGAGGACTGGAAGAACTCTAATGTTGGGCCAGTATTTTAAAAGGGTAAACAGGGTGACTTGGATAATTATAAGCCCATGAGTCTGATCCTGGGCAAGATAATAAAGTGGCTGGTACAGAACTAACAAAAATTTGAAGGATGGTAATGTAATTAATGCCAATCAACAAGGGTTTATGGAAAATAGAACCTCTCAAAGTGATGTGGTAGTTTTTTTTAAAGAGATTATAGATTTGATTGACTTCTGTAAGGCATTTGACTTGGCACTGCCTGACATTTTCATTCAAAAAATTAAAATATAAAATTAATAGACATTACACTGATTAAAAGCTGGTTAGCTGAAGTTCATGCAAGATAGATCCATTAATGGCTATTAGCCGGGATAGTCAGGGATTCAACCCCATTCTCTGAGTGTCTCTAAACCTTCAAATGCCAGAAGCTGCGACTGGATGACTGGGGATGGATCACTTGATAATTGCCCAGTTCTGTTAATTCCCTCTCATGTATCTGGCACCAGCCACAGTTAGAAAACCTGATGCTGGACATAGTTCCCTATAAGATATGTGGTTGTGCCACCACTCAAGAGAGTTTCAAATGCTGCCCAGCTGACTGGCAGAGCACCCAGAGTTAGGTTTTTTGTGTCTGCTTCCCACCGCTTCCCTTGGCTGCAAAGGGCAAAGTGGAGCCAATAGGAGCTGTGGGGCTTATGGCCGCAGAACCAGTAAATAAACAAACTGGGATGGCCAGGTAATGTGTTTCTCAAAGTGGTTTCATGAACCACTTTGAGAAACACTGGATTAGAGGGGACATTGATTCTGGACCAAAGACTGGGAAGGCCCATTACTCAGTGAAGTGGGAAGACAATAACAGAAAATGTGGAAGTGGCAGAAGTGTTAAATGACCTTTTTGTTTAGTTTCTAACAATTTTTTTTTGGTGAAAACAAATGTCTACTATAGTGAACTCCAGTAAAAATCAGGAAGGATCTGAGGCTATATAAATGAGTTAGACAAATTAGATGTCTTCAGGTCACCGTAGCCTGATGAAATGCATCCTTGGATACTCAAGGAATTGACTGAGGAGATATCTGAGCCATTAGATATCTTTGTAAACTCATGGAAGAAAAGGGAGATTCCAGAGGACTGGAAGAGGGTAAATATAATATCCATTTATAAGAACCTCTGTGCTGATAAGGTCTCAACTAGAATATTGTATCCAGTTTTGGACACACACATTTCAGGACAGATGTGGACTCACTGGAGAAAGTCCCGAGCTGAACAACAGATGATTAAAGGTCTAACAAACGTGACCTGTAACCAAAGATTGGAATAATTGGCTTTGTTTAATCTGTAGAAGAGAAGACTAAGGAAGACATAATAGTTTTCAAGTACATAAAAGTTTGTTCCAAGCAGATATGTGAAAAATTGTTCTTAATCTCTGGGTATGTCTACACTAGCCTGCTAGTTCGAACTAGGGAGGCTAATGAGGGCAATCGAAATTGCAAATGAAGCGCGGAATTTAAATATCCCATGCTTCATTAGCATGTTCCCGGGTAGTCGCCATTTTGGAAATTGACTAGCCTGGAATAACTGCACACGTCTACACGCGGCAGTGAAACGGGAGTTCGAAGTAAAAGCCCTAACTAGAATTAGCTGTTATTCCTCCTTGAATGAGGTTTAACAGCCAATTCGAATTAAGGGCTTTACTTCAAACTCCCTTTTCACTGTTGCGTGTAGACGCGGGCAATTATTCCGGGCTAGTCAATTTCCAAAATGGCGACCGCCCAGGAACATGCTAATGAAGCACGGGCTATTTAAATCCCGTGCTTCATTTGCTCTTTCGGTCGTCCTCATTAGCCTCCCTATTTCGAACTAGGGGGCTAGTATAGACATACCCTCTGAGAATAGGACAAGAAGCAATAGGCTTAAATTGAGCAAGAGTGATTTAGTTTGGACATTAGGGTAAACATCCTAACTGTCAGGGTAGTTAAGCAGTGGAACACATTGCGTAGGAAGGCTGTGGAATCTCCATCACTGGCAGCTTTTAAAAATAGGTTAGACAAACTCATTAGGTAAGGTATTGTCCTGCCTTGAGTGCAGGGGACTGGACTTGAAGACCTATTGAAGTCCCTGCCAGTCCTATGCTTCTGTGATTTGATGAACCATTGATCTGATCCATCATGGCCACTCTTTTGTTCTTAACCGATTAGGTCTCAAAATGGAAATGGGGAATCAATCTAGTACAGTATTTCTTAAACTAGAGTCTTTAGACCCCTGGGATCCCAGAGGGTCTGTGGGTCCCGCTGATCAACTCCTCCCTCTGCATCCCTCACTTCTGCAACTTTTTCCTCTCCCAAGGCTAAGACAGATTTCATGTGGCTTGCAGAAGCACCTGCCAGGTCCCTGCAGCCTATAGGGGCATGGTTGGATAGGAAGGTTCCATGCCCTGCTCCCACTGGAGTGCTGGCTGTTGGTCAGGAATTATGATCTAGGATTCTAGGGGAACTGCAAGGATAACACCTGTCGTCTTAAATTCAGATTGGATGTTTTTCTAAAGATCTGCTCTAGGAGTCATTTTGGGGGAGATTTGTAGTCTGTGTTATGCTGGAAATCACACAACATGATTAAAATGGTCCCTTCGGGCCTTGGAGTATGTGACACTATTAAATGGATCTGAGATGTGAACTGCCTAGTATTGTGTCAACTTCATTAACTACCTTCTAATCAAAGCATATTAGAGTGGATGATAGGAAAAATTTCCTCAAAACAGCGAATGACATTTTGTTTTGGTGCCAGAAGTGGCGGTTTTGGAGAATACTACTGCAGTCTACACACTGAGCCAACTGATGGAACTGAAAAGTGAAAGGGATCACCTGAGTATCCCCTGTCCAGTCTAGGCTCCTCCGGATTAGAACGAGCTAGCCTTTGGTAATAAGGTGGGGCCAGATGACTCCCTCCCCGACTAATGACTGCTGTTTCTGCACCTACTGGAGGCTGCCTGAAGACATCGCAGCATAAGGGGTTCTTTATACATTTAGAAATCAGGCTACGTATTGAGAAGTCTCAATGTTGACTTTGAAAATATTGAGTTAATATTTATAAGAAACAAACACCCCGGCTTCAGGACATAAGCCAACCACTAACCACCTGGGATGAGGAAATTGCTTCTCCCATAGACATGTCACTGAGTAATTGTCCATTATGCATGATTTATACCTTTCTCTAAAGCATTTGGTACTCACCACTATTGGAGACAGGATATTGGACAACATAGACCACTGGTTTGATCGGGTACACCGATTCCTGCATTCACTGCTCTTCATCTTTTATGTTCCCATTTCTGCTATCAATACAAACATTATGTATCACAAGTTGCAGCAAAATCCTGGAGGAGGATAGTGGCTAGGCAGACATGCTCTGTCATTTAGCATTCGGTGAACTGGTCCTTCTCTGAGGAATGCAAGATGACTTTAATGGTGAACACAGAGAAAGCTTGTAGGTCAGGATTTTGAGGGCTAAGAAATCTCTAGGCACCTAAATCAGATGTTTTACTTGCTGTGTTATTTGGGCTTGAAAGGAAAAACAACGTAAAAAAGCTGTCTTACTTTGCTGTCCCTCATCATATTTGATTTTCTGTCTTTAGATCTGTAGGTACAGAATGTCTGGATTTGTATGTCCTTTTCTAAGTCAGTGAGTGAAGAAGACATGTAAATTTCTTAACAGGTATTTCAGATGCTGCAAAAATTGCATTAGCATCTAATACCCACTTTGAAAGGTTTATCTCGGATGTGCATTCTTCCTGCTGGCTGAAATTGCCATTATTCATGGTAGAAATGCACTCCTTCTGCATTAAGAGGCCATTTACTTCTTTTTACACTGATTGATTTTAACGCTAGCTATCAGTTGTGGAATATTTATTGATGGCCTCTGGCTCTTGCCTCCTGAACTATTTTTAACAGCACTTTTCTAATTGCACCTCTTGTGCTTCAGTAAACTATATGTACACCTGCAATTCAGAGCTGTGGAGGGGACATGCTGTAGATTTTGATCTGATGTCCAGTCCTGTTAGTGATCTATGGTTTGCCATTAGGAAACAGTTTTCATTAGCTCTATATTGCTGTGGCTACTTCTTAGTTCAGCTAATGACTCTGAAACATGCAACATGCTCTTTGCCTTGGCTAGAGTGCCAAGTTTTTGGCAAGGAACAATTAGTAAAATGAAGTTAGTAACTGTTGAATCTCCACAGTGACTGAAATACTGTTCCATTAATCACTTCTGTGGAATGATTACCACCTTATGAATCAGCTTTACTGCCTAAATTTGCTCTACTTCCAAAAATTTAATGAATCAGCAATTCTTACTAATCAATAATTCACTTTTGTTATTGGTAGATTTTGAGTTCGTGTCTTGCTATGGCCTCCAAGTCCTTGCTTTTAGTTAAACTTAAATATTTGGCACGTGGCTTGGCCATGATTCATTTCCAGAACATTCTAGTCAGTCAATTGCAGCTCCTGCTCTTTGCTTTGTGCTCAGTCGTATCCACCATAAATCCTGAGTATTTGTGTGGGAGCCAGACATTCATTTTCTGCTATCTAGACTGGACTGTCAATGCCTTGCACCAGTTCTCTTTTACACCTGTTTGGTGCAAAATGCTGCCACATCAGACCTCTCGACTCACACCTTTGGCAGTGTTTGACCCCCACTTTGCACAGGCAAGCCTACTGCGGAGGCAAAGGGGTCAGTTGCCCTGGGGCCTAGCTATTCAAAGGATCTGGACCTCCCTGCTGCTACTGCGGCAGTGGGCAGAGTCCAGGCCCTTCAAATTGCTTCTGGAGTGCTGTGCTCTCCATCCAGATCTGGGGGCTGGGGTGGGCATGGTGTGCTCCATGCAGCATGGAGGGCTGGCTACTCTGGCCCCACCTCTTCCAGGAGCGTGGAGCTGCCCTCCATTGCCCAGGAGCTATTGCAGGCTGTCAGCTGCCCTGTGCACAGGTATAAACAATGAGTCAGATTTCAGGCAGCAAAGAATCAGCCCCTCAGACTTAAGTGAAGGGTTGAGGGATAATGAATCTTTAGCAGAAGAGGTTTTCTGCCAGCTCTTTATTCAGACAGTTGAGTCAAGTGAGTGTAAGCAAACAAAAACCCATTTTAAATAGCATGAATAAAGATAACCCTCTCTGTCAGGGTCAGATTCTGATCCACAGTAGTACAAATCCTTATGCAGCCACTGTGGGGGGGAGATTGGCTTACCTGCATAGAGTTGTGAGACCTGCATTGAGACCAGGCCAGCAATACAGGCAGTCCCCGGGTTATGTACAAGATAGGGACTGTAGGTTTGTTCTTAAGTTGAATTTGTATGTAAGTCGGAACTGGTACATATTGTAGGGGAAACTTTAGCCAAACATTTCTCCAGAGCTCAGTTTTATTCTCCCACACTTCACTTCCCTCAGTCCTTTATTCTCAAGCTGAGGTGTCTGCTGAGAAAAGCCGCTCCGCGTCTCCCTGGTCTGCTGGGGGGGGGGGTGCTAGCTAGGCGTCTCCCTGGTATGCTGGGGGGAAGCAGCTAGTGCAGGGTTGCCTCACCCCGTTTGTAAGTAGGGATCCGATGTAAGTCAGATCCATGTAACCCGGATGTAACCCGGATCCATGATGCCTGTACAACATAGTCAGGTGTCAGAATGCTCCACCTTCTTTAGCTCTCATTCACTTCCTCCTCCACCTTTTTTAGCTGACTTCTGAAGTCATTTGACTCTTTGCTTCAGTCTCCTTCCTTGCTCATTAATCCTGTGTATGCAACACCTCCCTCTCCCCATCTGCTTGATATGAAGTTTCTCTACCAGAATCCCCAATTTACAAGATGTATTTAAAAATCCTACCTAGGTAAAAAGGTAAAAACATTTACCTCTGAATTTGATCAATTTATTTCATTATTACAAAACCATTAGGAACATGCTGAAGCCTCCTCTTTCCCACAAAAAATAAAAGATGCCTTTCCTTAACTTTCCTTCAGAAGCACTGTTTTCACAAGCCCTGCTTTTGTGTCTTCTAAGGGCACTTTGAATATTTCCACCTATTTTGTTTTTATTTCACAGTGAATTTAGCACTGGTGAAAGGTGGCAGATTGACAGTCCTTGATCAACAGAGCAAGTAAAGCGTGAGCAGTAGCAATGCAAATTTCCCCCCACCACTCTGTGCCACTACACTGACCCAGAAGACCACCAGAGAGAGGGAAGATCATGCACCATGGCCTAATTAGTCTTTAATAAGCAGCATAGACAGCACACTGGATGGTAGTTGCAGTAGTTACATACTTTATCTGTCTAGATTTGTAAGAACATCTCCCACCAAATATCCAGCGAGCAATACCTGAGCAAAGACCAGACCTGGGCTGTCATCCCGCCCCAAGTGTCCATGTTCCCAGCATGCACTGTTCTATATTGGCAGTCACCCAGGAGGTGGCGGAGAACACAACACAGCTGTGTACCCAAAATAAGGACTCTGTGGCAGGGCAAAGGTCATTTTCAGGGTAAAATCTACATCAGCCTTTATCCAATGGCTAAGGTTAATCACCAAGAAAAAGCAACTCACTCTACACATGAACTCTCTTTGTTTAAATCCTTCCTATGAACCTCTCATGCTTTAAGGAATCCACAGCCAAGATACCTGCTCAGTGTACACATGAGACCAAGCAAACAAGTCAATCAATCATGTATTTGATTAATCTTGTTGCTTTTCCTAATGATCATGATACATCACGTCCACTTCTTTCCTTATATCCACAAAGCCAGTTATCTCATCATAAAAGGCAATTAGGAAAAGCAACAAGATTAATCAAATACATGATTGATTGACTTGTTTGCTTGGTCTCAAAAGAGAACAAACGGATATGAGTCCTTCCTGTTGATAGCCCCTTGGCCAGCCAATCATCATTGAGACTCAGAGGAAAGAGGCTGAGGAGGTCTCACCAACTGTCCCAAAGAAAGGCCGGATCACCACTAAAAGGGGTCACTTTCAGCATGCGTCCAGCCCCGCCTCTTTGTCAGAGCCCCCCAAAATGAGAGCAAGACCCTTCCTCCCCACACACACCTTTGTGGAGGAAGGGAGGTGTCGAAGCAAAAACACGCTCCTCTGTGTTTAGGCAGCTAACAAACAGCTTTATTAATTAATAAAGCACAGCATGAGCCAAACGTGGTCACAGCAGAGCCGGGCCCAGTAAGGCTGCTAATACAATCAATCCTAGTATCTTTATACCCTTAGCCAAACAGTCTGACATCAGGGCATCTAATTACAGAAATCCTCAATTAAATTTGGAAAAACAAAGCCTTATCAACAAGATGGCGGACAGGTACGAGGGAGTACATCTCCTGTCCCAACCAGCCCAATTAACACATACCAATAGCCCATCCTGTAGGCCTCTTCTCACGGGGTGACAGAAAGGGTACAGAAAAGCTGAAATGGTTTCTGATATACAAGATGGCTTCTAGCTAAACATAAAATAGCTTCTACAGAGTTAAAAAAAAAGCATGCAAAAAAGAAAAAAGAGGAGGGGAAAGAGGAGAAGGAACCCTAAAAGGACAAATCTCAAAAGTACCCACTGACAAAAGTACAGGACAGAGTCCTCGGTAGGAAATCACATTCTGCAATCTTAACCTGATGATTTCTCTGCCTTGAATTCAGATGGCACCCAATAGATCAGACTGAGCAAGATCTAAACCTCTCTATGCTTTTACCTTTGAAACAGGGTCATCATCATGAATAGTAGGAATAGTGAAAACTCCAAAATGGTCACTCCCTATGTTCATGTATGTGAATCGTAATTCTCCCTGAGTCCTGAAGGAGACCTCAAGAGTTACAGCAGCAAAGCCATGGGGGTCTGCCTAGCACCTCAGTCCTGCCTCGCTGATGTCAGTCTCTCTGTGATGTTACTTCCTCACCACCACCACCTTTGCCCAATAAGCTGAGGTCCTACCAAAGGCCATTGTGATGTCACTACCCCACCCACCACTCCCCTGCAAGACTTCTGTCCAGACCCATGTCAGTCTCTTTGGATATAGTGACTGATCAGAATAAAGTGCTCTCAAATGAGGTACAGACCATCAGTTGATCATAGCAATTGTTCAGCAAGTATTTTAGAATTAGAACATTAGAGATAATTGTGAACTGCTGAGTGACCATCAATCTTGCTGCTTCTCTCCAATAATCAAATACATGACAGATTATGATTTATTTGCTTGTCTCAAAAGAGAACAAAAAGAGCTCAGTTTCTTATCTGTCAATAGCATTGCGATTCAGAGAGGTGGGTGGATGAGGGGTCTCAGGGAGAA